GGGGGGGGTTGGATACAGCGAGGTGGGCCGGGGGAGATCGGGAGAAGACGGGAGAACTGGCCGCCGGAAGCAGGGCCGGTGGGTGCAGCAAGGTTGGCCAAGGAAGATCGGGAGGAGAAGTAGGGGAGAACCAACTGGCCAGCCAGGAGCGGGGGCGGGGAGAGGGGAGAAGAGCGTATTATTTGCCATTTTGTTGCCCAAGCAGTTAGTTTGGTGAGAGCTTTTTGAAGCTCCTCACAGTCTGCTTTGGCCTTAGCTATCTTGAGCAGTTTAGTATCATCAGCAAATTTTGCCACCTCACTGTTTACCCCTTTCTCCAGAACATTTATTAATAGATTGATTTGGATTGCTTCCAGTACAGATCGTTGGGGAACATCATTCTGAAAATTTACCATTTATTCCTGTCCTTTGTTTCCTATCTTTTAACCAGTTATCAATCCATGAGAGGACTTATATATGGCCCTCCCAAATTCATGGTCTATTTTGGTCAATTTCAATGCCATAGGATTTTGATAAATGTAAAAGTCATGATTTCAGCTATTTAAATCTGAAATTTCATGGTGTTGTAATTTTAATGTTTTTAACCCAGAAAGGAGTTTTGTGTGTGTGTGTGGTAAGGAGGGGTCCAAGATTATTAGCGGGTGTGTTGCAGTACTGTTACCCTTTATTTTGCACTGCTGCTGGCGGCAGTGCCGCCTTCAGAGCTGGACCCCACTGAAGAGTAGGGATGTACAATCCTGGTTAATCAGTTAACTGGTTAAACCAGGGGTGGGGAACCTTTTTTGGGTTGGGGGCTGTTGACCCACAGAAAAATCAGTCAGGGACCACACACAAGTGAGAAGCAAAGTCAGAAGCCCCCTGACTGAGAAGCAAAGACACTCCCCACATTCCCCTTGAACAGCAGAGCCTAAGGGGGCCCTAGGCTAGTAGATTTTGTGTGCTCCAGCCCTGTGGGTGGCAGGGAAGCTGGAGCACCACCGTGGGCTCCCCAATGCTGAACCTCGGGGACCAGATTCAGGCAAGCCAAGGGCCACATCCAGCACCTGGGCCTGAGGTTCCCCTTCCCCACCACCATTAAACATCAGTTAACCAAGTGGGATCCAGACAGGGGACCACTCCAGCCTAGCTGGAGCAGTCCCACTCCCACAGTAGGGCTGCTGCTGCCTCCCCGCTCCCACCAGAGCAGCGCTTACCTGTGGTGGGCTGGCCTCTCTGCAGAGAGAGGCTGCTCTGGACACCAGCACAGCCCCTGCCTACAGGGTGCTCAGGACACCAGGCAGGGGCTGCTCCCAAAAAGAGTAGTACCTGTCTGCAGTGGGCTCTCTGAGTTACTCATGCCACAACCAGTTAAGCTTTCACATCCCTATTAGAGAGTGACAGCTCCTCACTGGGAGCCCAGCTCTGAAAGATGAGCTACCAACGGTACCATGCAGAAGGAAGAATGGCAAGATACGGTATTACTACCCTTGCTGCTGTTGGCTGGGCATTGCCTTCAGAGGGCAGCACCTGGCCAATAGGTGCTTCTCTCTGCATGTCCAGCTCTGAAGGCAGCATAGAATGGTGGAAATACCACAAGCCCCCTAAAATAGCCTTGCAGGGTAAGCCCCCTAGAACGCCAGGCACAAGGTCTGAGGCAACGCCCCCACCAGCTCCACCTTGCACCTGCTCTGCTTCCTGCTGCTGTGGAGAACCCAACTGTAGCAGGTCGGGAGAGACCAGCACAGTGGAGCAGGCTACCATGCCACTCTGGCCCCCTCCATCTGCACAGTGGGCATGTGTGTGGGGGCGACCACTGCTGCTGTCCTGAACCAAGCTCTGTAATGCTCCAGGTCCCTCCTGTCTATAGAATGGTTGGGATGGCTACAGAGGTTTGGGGTTGGCAGGCTCCCAAAAGCACGTAACCTTGCAACCCTCCTGCTGCAACTCTCTTTTGGTCATGACCTCCTATTTGAGAAGCAGTGGTCTCCCCCATGAAACTTGTATGGTAGAGGTAAACACTAGGGCTACATCTACATTGGCATGATCTTGTGCAAATACTCTTTGACGCAAAAGCATCTGTGCCAGCTTAGACGCTCTCTTGCGCAAGAACGCTCCGATGGCCATTTTAGCCATCAGGCTTTCTTGCGCAAGAAATTCATGTTGCCTGTCTACACTGGCCTCTTGCGCAAGAAAAGTTGCGCAAGACGGCTTATTCCTGAGCGAAAGCATCATAGTTCTTGTGCAAGAAGCACTGACTTAATACATTAGAACGTCAGTGTTCTTGAGCCAGAACTCGCAGCCAATGTAAACAGGCAGCAAGTTTTTGCCCAAAAGCACATGCTTTTGCGCAAAATCATGCCAATGTAGACAGAGCCTAGGGCTATATCTACATTCAAGGCTTCTTGCGCAAGAACATCTTGCGCAAGGGTTCTTGTGCAAGAAGTCTTGCACAAGAAAACGTCCACACTGCCATGTGCGAGCTGTGCTTTTGCGCAAGAGCGCCCATGGCAGCGTGGACGCTCTCTTGCACAAGAAAGCTCTCGTGGCCATTTAGCCATAGGGCTTTCTTGCGCAAGAAATCCCTGCAGAGTGTCCACACCGCCCTCTTGCGCAAGAGGCCCTCTCTTACTATGCCATACTGTAAATTTCCTTGGGCAAGAGCAGGTGGCCCGTGTGGACACTCTGCGGATTCTTGTGCAAGAATTGCCATACTTGCGCAAGAAGCCGTGAGTGTAGATACAGCCATACACACAAAGAAATTTCATGGATGGAGACCACATTTAATGGTCAGTGATGTGTTTTTCATGGCTGTGTATTCAGTAGGGTCCTATTGATATGACAGAGAAGAGAATAAAACCTATTGGGCTGATGGCACTTCACTACTAATGTTTTGTATGACGAAGCTTATGTCCAAATAAATGTTAGTCTTTATTTAAGGTGCCACAGGACTCCTCATTTTTTTGGATATAGGCTAACACAGCTACCCCTCTGATACTTGTCTTAATGTAAATTCTTCTTGCCTAATATTACTTGGACACATCAATCACCAGAAAATAAGTTTGATCAGACTGAATAGCAGCTGGAAAGAAAAGGAGCCTAATAAGGAAAGGGGTGAATAACCTTGCAGTATTTGAAGTGTTTGAGGTTTTGTGAATGGCTCACACTATAGTTTCTTATAAATGCAAATTCAAACTCCTCTCTAAGCCCATATATTCCCCCAAGGGAGAATTACTTGAGGACAGCATAGCTAAAGAATAGAGCCCACTTTATGGAGGGCACAGGGTGAAGAACCCAAGGCGAGGCTGCTGTAAATAACGCAAGCACGCTGCTTTGCACGCTTTGCTCTCCCAACTAGGGATATTACATTTTGACTAATTAACTAATCAAATAGGTGATGGGATTTTCATTGACTATTTGATTAGTCCATAAGGATTAGTGGGGCCTTCCTTATGGACCCCCAGCAGGGAGTCCCTCTGACCCCAGGCTTCATGCCAGCACTTCCGCTTTGAAATGTGCAAATGACTTTGCTGGGGCTCTTGTATATTTCAAAGCAGAAGGGCTCTCATGGAGCCTTGGGGGCAGCGGGACTCCCTGCTGTCTCTGGGCTCCACAGAGTATTTCAATCTTCTGGGGCTCTTGTACATTTCAAAAGTGGAACGCAGAAATCCTTATCAACTAATTGAACAGTTGATGGAAACCCCATCAACTATTCGATTAGTTAATTAATCAAAATTAAACTTCCCTATTATGTTGTATGGTTATGTTTTAGGAACTCACACCTTAAACACACTCATCCATATTATACCTTTTTTGTACTTGTGGAAGAAACAAAAAGCATCTCAGCATTAGCTGTGATCAGTCCCCGAGCGCTCGCGCACGTTGGCCCTGCGCGCCGGGCTCCCCTCACCCTACTCCCGCCTGGGAAGCCCGAGCCCTTCCCCCTGAACTGCTCCCCCCGCCCGCGCGCCTCTCTCAACTGCCTTCGGCTCCCGCCTACCACAAGGCCCCGCCCAGCAGCTTCCTCCTTAGGCGCGCGCTCTGCGTCACCCACGGTGCTCCCCTTCAGGGTCCCTGTGCCCCTCCGAATGTCACCGCCCTCTGGCTACCGCCGCTGTTCTATCGCGGACCGGCCTCTTCCGCCCCCTCCCCTGCGCTCAGTCCGAGCCTCGCCCATAGCCCCTCTGATCTGACACACCAGCCATCCAAGTCCCGCCCCTTCAGGAATCTCGCGATATTATGCTAAAGTGCCGGGCGCCGCGCCCCCTCTCCGGCTCTTTCCTTCTGGGCGGGTGAGCAAGTGCGGCGGCGGCGGCGGCCGGGTCGGCCGCGGTGTTCTGTGGGATAGTGGTGGATAGAGGCTCTCCTCGGTGCGGAGCGCTAGGGCCGGGCAGGAGCGGGGCATGAAGATGGCGGACGCCAAGCAGAAGCGGAACGAGCAGCTGAAGCGCTGGATCGGCTCCGAGACCGACCTGGAGCCGCCCGTGGTCAAGCGCAAAAAGACCAAGGTGAAGTTCGATGACGGCGCCGTCTTCCTGGCTGCCTGCTCCAGCGGGGACACGGACGAGGTGCTGCGGCTGCTGGAGCGGGGCGCCGACATCAACTACGCCAATGTGGACGGGCTCACCGCCTTGCACCAGGTCGGCCTCAGCGAGGGGGAGCCGGGGCTGGGCCTGGCCGCGCGGCACCGGGGCAGGGAGCGGCTCTGGCGGGCTGGGCGGGGGTGGGAGCGGGCTCGGTGCTTGTGGTCCAGCACGGAGCGGAGGAAGGGGAAAGGTGCTTGGCTCCAGTTCTCCAGCGAGGGGTCTCCCCCAGGCTGCCGGCCCGGACAGATGCATCGGCCTTGTGGCTGCTAAACCCTGGGATCGGCCCCTCTCTGGATGCTGGAGACTGAGCCCTTTCCTCTGCCCGGCTGGGGGGATTCGGGGTCCTTCTTGTTTCTTTCCCCCAGAGATAGTGCTGGTGGGACCCCCTGTCCGTGGCGAGCATTGGGGGTGTCCCTGGTAAAGCGGGGTTCTCCGAGGCCCTATCCGCTGAGAGTCCGGGCAGGAGAAATGCTGCTCGGGAGCGGGGAAGGTGACAGGAAGACCCTGGAAAGGGGAGATGTTAGCAGGTGGGGGTGATGGGGTGAGAAACGCGGTCACTCCATGTTTGCTGTTAACATCGCCAACATTTCTGTCGCTCCGATCCCTCCAATTGTTCTGCTGTTTAAAGGATGAAATCTGCTGATTATGAAGGCGGATCATTTCTCTCTGATTTCTAGGCGGGAATTAATGTTTTGTTGTTAATATAGTAACGTCTATCAATAAGAGACAGGCTTCTTTCTTTACTGGTGGTTTCTACCGCAGTGTGAAAGCCCCACTCTTAGGTTAGCAGTGTTTTTACAGTGTATATTTCCTGCGGTGGGAGGCTGTAAGAAGGGGCAGGTTTGTATATGTTTTTGAACTCACTTCGAACTTTCATTGAGGGTGGGGGAATGGAAAGTGGCCGTGAAATTTCTCAAAATGGATGCTTTGTACATGTTAAAGTTTTATAGCAATCTCATTGGAATCTCAAAATGTTAGCCAAATAAGGAAAGGCAGTGGTAATCCAGTGATAATGTGGGTTTGCCTGAATAGTTTTTGTTTCTTCAGCAAACCAAAAGCCATAGCAGCATATTAAATTCATTGAACATCAAAAAAGCAAGAATAATCTCTTTGATAGATGCAATTTTCAAAATAAAAAAATGAATCTCAGTAGTTTTGGAAAGATTTGGTAATTATGAACTCTAGTTTGATCAGGTACAGATCTTTTCAAAATAATTCAATGAGGAAATTCAGAGCAGTGTTTGTTCTTTCTAAACAGAAGCTGGTGACTTTAGTGTGCAGTAAACTCCTTCATAATGAAATAAGTATGAGGAATGCCTCATTATTTATTGTAATAGAAAACAGTAAATGGATTGCTGAGACCTTTTATGCTTTTAACTGATTTTATACTTTTACTGTAATGCAATGTGTATCTAATAACTTTACTGTTTCCTGTACAAAAGTTGTCACCTGCCCTTTCACTAAATTAATAGTCTTGATAGAATTGGTATGCTTCCTACTGACAAAAAATAAAAACAAGAATGAACATGACCAGTTATGGGATAATCATTATGTTTGTGTTATGGTAACATGGTGATACACTCCTTAATTTCAGTGTATATTGTAATACTGTATATGGCAAATTTAATATACTGTAGCTTCATTTAATCAATCTGGAAATTCATAGTCTAAAGACGTACCTTACTTACAGACACCATACTTTCTGTGGTTAGATGTTAATATGTAAAAAGACTTTCAGGTACTTTTAATACTGAGAACAAAAGGACAAAGTCTTGGTTTTAATGAAGATTGGTAAAACAACAAAGTAGAGAATAAGCTTTCTCTGTTTTGACAAGTCTGAGAAGCCTTTTTAAAAACCAAATGAGAGGAGTTTTTGCCAACTTTATGGTACTGAAGTGCAACATTTTTACAACTAATGTCATCTGTACCTCCATGCTGTCAGATGTTTGCTCCACCTCAATGTGCAAGCTGACCGCAGAGCGGAAGATCAAGTTAGCTGCAGATTTTTTTTCTTAGAGTTATGCTAAAGTAGTCATTACTCTAGTGTCACTGCTATGATAGGACTAAAAATGTTTTTTTGAGGCGTTAATCAACAAAAGTTGAAAAGCAAATTGGGAAATTTCACTGTGAAATGATTGTTTTATTAAGGTAGCTTAGTAAATGATTGTATGTTTACCCCAGTCCTCTCAGGAAATGTATTGTTTGTAGTGCCCCTTTAATCAACATAGTCTCTAGTTTACCCACACTTCTCTATCATACACTTGTGACAAAATAGAAAATGCTGGACACCTACTCTAAAATGAGAATTGCTGTGATAAGTAGGAAACATCTCAAAACTTTAACACTTTGCTACTGTTGTGATTTCAGTAATGTTGAAAGCCCTATTGTACCTAGGATTTCCTATCACTTCCATAATTTTTAAGCACTAGATCAGTCAATTTAGATCTGACTATCCTTGTGAAATAATTACCTGTAGGATGTGTAAAAGGTAGTGATTTATGCTCATTTTTGGATCTCTTTCTTGTCCCCCATAGTCATCTATTTCTTTTTCACATTAGCTGTGTTCTCCTGTCTTGAGTGATTCACAAATTATGTTTTAGTGCACTAAAGCAGGAGCATAAATGACTTTTCTTTTGGTAATATTTTCACTTAGATATATATACGGCAGTATAGGAAAAAGGGGTGAGAAACACTGTCCTTCAAAAGCCCTGATGGTGGCTTCTTGACACTTTTTGCATGATCTTATAGGGTAGTTTCAGGGTTGTGTGTGTCTTTGTATGTGTATAGATATAGATATACACACAATGGCGCTGGATGTATAATTTCCAGTTCAGAAGTATACATGCTAGCTTTAACCAGAGTAGTGAGGTAAAAATAACAGTGTAGCTGTATGGAGTGAACTGACTGCCTGAGAACAATCCTGTTTAGGCTGTGTCTGGATATATGGATATATTTGGGCAGGTAGATAGGTAGCCACTGTGGCAGCAACAAACCTGTGCTTTTTTTTTTTAAAGCATGTGTGTCTGCCCAAACTGGAAATAATTCCTTCAGTTTCAGTGTACATGTCCTCTGTTTCCATTGTGGCAATAAGTTGTGCTACCAGCCAAACCACTGGGTCATCCATTAGCCAATCTTTTCCAGTATTAAGGCTCAAAAGCTAGTTGAGTGGAGTAATAAAACTTGTGGGATGAACTAGGCGGGGTTTTTGTCCCTCTTCCTGAATAACAAAACAAATTCTTAGTATGCTTCTTATTCAGTATGCATTTTAAAGGGCAACATGTATTGCAGACATTTATTTGAGATGGAAATTCTGTAAGTGCCTCTCTCCCACACACTGCCAACACATTTTATTTCTCATATGATTTGACACTAATTGCTAACTTCATTTTATATTTTGCTATGCAGAAGGAAGGTATGGTGCATGTTAAGTGCACTTCTGTTTTAAAAGGATGCAGCATTTTAAATTACATATAAATCATACTTAACATTTATATTCCAAGTAGCATTTAAGCTTGCTGTTTGCAAATTAGTAAAGAAAAATATTTGTTTTGCTATGTAGGTTAGAACAGGTTGTCATAATGTTCTCTTTTGATTTTAATGATGTTGTGTTGGTATTGTATAGTACTGGGTTAGCAGTGGCTAACTAACAACAACACTACAAATAACCCCGGATGGTAATAGACCTGTACAGTGATTTCTTTTTGACTGATAAAAGGAAAGCTTGGAAATGGTGCTACATGCCTTGCATGCTAGTTATTATTACTTTAAGTTAATTGCCCCCTTTTTTCTTTCAAAGAGATGCAGTTACTGCTTATTTATGGTAAACATATAGGCTACGTCTACACTGGCCCCTTTTCCGAATGGGGCATGCTAATTTTCAACTTCAGAATAGGGAAATCCGCGGGGGATTTAAATAAAGATGTCCGCCGCTTTTTTCCGGCTTGGGGAAAAGCCGGAAAAAAGCATCTAGACTGGCCCGATCCTCCGGAATAAAGCTCTATTCCTTCGAAGTAGGAATAAGAGATCCTCCGGAATAGAGCTTTATTCCGGAGGATCGGGCCAGTCTAGATGCTTTTTTCCGGCTTTTCCCCAAGCCGGAAAAAAGCGGCGGACATCTTTATTTAAATCCCCCGCGGATTTCCCTATTCTGAAGTTGAAAATTAGCATGCCCCTTTTGGAAAAGGGGCCAGTGTAGACGTAGCCATATACTTGATCACTCATGCTGACATAAGCATTAGTACTAATTGTCATTAAATATCTTGCATGATAGCCTTATCTCTCTATAGTTATTTGATGCCAGATTGAAGGACTGGAATGGTGTAAAAGGGTGCTTAAAAACCAGTGATTGAGATGTGGATGGGCTCACTGGAATATAGAACCCCTTCGCATCCCTGGGATAGGAGGTATATCAAGGATAGGGGACACAACGTGCAGCATAGCAGCTCTTTTGTCAGGGGTAGATTACAGCCATCTAAGTCCTTATGACCATTTAATCTGCATTAAGGTAAGTGCTGCAGAGCAATTTGCGATCAGAATGATGCAAAAATGGCTCAAAGCCACTTTCACACCCAGCTCTCTTGTTTCTGGTAACACTATACAGTAGAGGTTAACAACCTGTGGTCCGCGGACCCCTTGTGGTCCATGACAATACTGCAGGGGTCTGTAGAAAGTTTTAAAAGTACGGGCTCAATCCTTTTCTTTTTCTTCCCCTTCCACCCTCCCCCACCGGGGTTGGGGGTTGTGAAATTTTAATAGATTGAAAAGGGGTCTGCTTGAAAAAGATGGGAACCATTTTTGTAGAGTATTTTAGGGGTAGCAATTTAAAAAACCTTTTTTTGGTCATTGTGCTTTTTTTTTTTTTTTTAGCATGTGTGTCAGTGTGGTCAACAAAAGTGGGGTAATTGCTTTTACTTCTAGGTTTTTAATGTTCCATTGTCTGACTTCATACTAAGAAATATTGTATTTAAAAATTAATTATAATGTAAAGAAATGAGTGGAAATACTTCTGCTGGCCATACATTCTGTAAAACATGTTCTTTTTCCGGAAATGGGAA